AGGGCACACTTCTGGAGTTTGGACAAACAAAGTTTTACTACAGGGAATAGCTGGGTACGTTTGCTAATGCTGAGGAGCAGCAGCACGGCTGGGTATCCATGATGCGGGCGATCCCGAAAGGAGCTAGTCGAGAAATCACTGCCCCAAGTAAAGCCTAACTTTAATTTTCATACAGACACTCACCGGTGTCTGTCATTCTGTCTCCGTATGTGCGTGTGTATGTTGTGTGTGTGTAAGTAGATAATTCCCCTTCCCCTCCCCTTTCGTGCGAGAGATTAGAAATAGCGTAAGAGAAGGGTAGGGCTCCTCTCCCGGTGTCTTAGGAAGCCGTACTGAGATGGGGGCTAGGAGGATCGGGACGACATTAATTGGTAAAGATCCCTAATCCCGGCTGCACTGCGAGTTAAATCTGCCCCCGACACGTAAAAGCGAGCTGCCCCGCGGCTTCACTTAGCCTCCGTCCACACTGCACAGCCCCTGCCCCGGGCGTCCCCTCTCGCCCGTCTGCTTCAGAAGAAGGTGACGGCGACTTAAGCAACTTTTCTCTGCCTGGGGTTTCATACGAAGCACACGCTCCCCGAAGGGCTGAGGGGCTCTCTCCCTGCAGTACACCCGTTACTGATGGTATCTATACGCTCCGAATGGAAACTGGTGTCAAAGCCTGTCCTCTCCCCCGGCCCCTGCCCCTGCCGCTGGCTGTGGCAGCAGCGGGAGCAGCTGAACTGCACCGAGAGACTACAGACAATGGGGACGGGAGAGAATGGTTGCTAGAGGCTTTGAGGTAAATCTCAAGCTTACCTTGATGGTTTTCTTCTGGAATGTACATCCTCTTGTTTTCATTGACCATTTAAAACGAGTCCAGATTAATCCCTCCGCAAATCGGCTTGGTAAAATTCAAGGAAGAATGGAGCTGCAGAATTCCCTCTTTTATTATTACCTGATTCCCATTATTGCATCAAACACCAAAAACTGATCCTTTCCACTACTGCCTCCTTTAGTGAAATTGCAATGCATCCTCAGTACATCCGGGCCCCTTCCAAGAATTTAGCACAGCACCTCTGGCTGTTAAACCATAAAAAAGAACAGGAAGGGGGGAAATGAGAGAGGGGAAAAAAAAAAAAGGAAAGAAAAAGCATCCAGGACAAACCTCTGAGGGTTAAATGTCTTTTTTAAAATCCACCAACTACAAGAGTAAGAAAAGGAGGAGAAAAAAAAAAAAAAAAAGATGTTCAAACGCTGCTGCTCCTCCTCTTCAAAGCCATTCTGAGCGCGTTGTGTTGGCAGGGAGCTGTTTCTGCAGAGGAAGAGAGAGCACAGTCCCAGCCCCTTACTCCCTCCCCTCCCTCAGCACGCTCGCTCCCTTCTCTCTGCCTCTCGCAGACAGACAGACACCCTGAACACTTCCAGATGTTCCAGCTGCGACGGCAGCACGCAGCCCCCCGCGCACAGCGCTGGGAGCCGGCTGACTTGATCTGAAAGTTTAACACGCTCCCTGCCTTCACTGCGCCTGCTGAAGCCTTTCTACAGACATGACGTCAAGGAGGCAAGCCGGAGCCGGCT